GGAGGCTGGGAGCTGGAAGCTGGCGACTGGAAAGCGCGCGGGGGAGAGAGCGGGAGCCGAAGGGAAACCTCGACCGCCCAGCGAGCCAGGGGACGTGCCTGTATATTGGCGGTGCCCTGGCCATGGACCCGCGCTCCAACTGGAGCATCTGCCTCCGCCTTCGTTCCAGGTCCTTCCCCCTCCCCCTCCCTTCCCCCGCCCCTCCTCCGGTCCCGTTCCCTACCCTTATCTGGTGCCCACCCTCCTTTCACTACCGTCGACTCCCCTTGTTCGCTCCTTTCCCTGGATCCTCTACTCCTCTCCCCACGTGGTTCGCTCCCTCATCGGGCCCCCTCTAACCACATGGCCAGCCAATCGTCAAACCAACTGCCAAACCACTGACAAACGAGCCAACCATCCGAGCAGCCAATCAGTCAGCCAAGCAACTGGCCAGCCAAACCAACCAGCCAGCCAACCAGGAACCAGTGTAGCCAACCATCCAAAGTGCCAGACTGCCAGCCGCTCACATAATCAGGAAAGAACTGTGGCGGCAGGAGGGGAGCTCCTGTTCTTGCTGCTGCTTTGTGTAAGGAACCCTTTGCAGATTTGCACAAACACTCGCAAGTGTCGCCGTTGACCTGCTCTGCATCCCGTGGCATCTTCATCTCTTCCATCACGTATCTGCAGCAACAATCAGCACCTAAAAAGGCGCACGATTCCTCGGCGTTGTAGTCTGGCCTGGTCAGAGCGTCTGCAGGAAGAGTGAAATTGGCCGGGATGGCGTAGCCTCGCAAAGACCAATGAATTATATCATGGACGCTACTTCCCCCGGCCGCTCATCTTCCGCTTCTGCACACATTACGTATGCCTTGTGACAGCGTCGGCAATCGACTGGCTGCGTGGACGATATGGTATGAGCAACGAAACAAACATGTAGTGGCATGTTGTGGCTTCGACGCATCGTCGCCATATGACGTGTTAAGAAGCGCACGTACACGCACGCGTGCGCACACGTGCACACGCAACACAACACAACACAACACAACACAACACAACACAACACAACACTGCACAACACTACACCACACCACACCACACCACACATCACACACATACACACATATGTAAATATACATATATATACATACATACGCACACACTTCGTCAACCACGGGTATGCGGCAACAGACACGCATACACTCTGAAATGATGCCGACGGCTCCAAGAGAATCACGGGAGCTGTCCTCGAACTTTCCGGATCGAGGGTCCCAAGCTTCGGCAACGTTTGATGGGGGGTTCGACCGACCCACAAGAGATGTAACAAATTATTCAAAAGGTTCGATCAGCCTCTGCGAACTCGCACAGCACCTCTGCGAAGCTTCGCCAATTGCTCTTGGGTCCCACTCCGAATTTGCCCCGACAATCTTCCTCACGCACTCGCACCGACCAACCTTCCTAAGAGACGTGCTTCTGCCGAATAGGACGTCGGCGCAACTGGTCGGATATTCTTGACGGCTCTTCCATGAGAAATGGTGTACCTCACTCCGTCCCCGCGCATTTCTTCGTGAACGGCAGGCACCATGTTAATCCATGGCAGAAGCACCGAGCACATGCATGTGCAAATTAAAAGCCAGACGATGACCTCAAACAAGCACGTCGCCTGGAAAATACGTGCGCGCACGAGCACAACACCACCCACTCAGCGCCCAGAGCGCCGGAAACAAAGGCTGACTAGCTCTAGATTGCCAATACCCAATATGAGCTGTAAGTCCTGTGGATGTGTTGGGTGATCATGTCGCACAGACTCCTGCGGCGCACCGGCTGCTCCACCACCTCTGGACCGCACAGCAGCTGCTCCTGGTACTCCTGGAACAGCTGTCGCTTGTCGGAGGTGCCCCTCTTGCACAGGGAGAGACTCTTGTCAGTAGAATCATCTTCAGCCTGCCTTGAGAGTGTTCCCTGTTTCCCAGTCAGGTCGAATACGCCCTTCATCATCTCGTCCTCCAACGCACCTGGATCTGCACACTCATCCTGGAGCATCTTGAGCACCATGTCGCACTGACCGTCAATGGTAAGGTCGAGCATACTATCGAGGGCCAAATCGCAATGCTGCTCGATGTCAGACTGGAGAATCTCCAGATCGTCCTCGTTTGCCTGAAGTCCTCGATCATAAAAGGTCGGTGGCTCACTGTGCATCGGAGCCTGGCCTGCGAGATAATCCGCAAGGCCCCGAAACACCTGGCCGTCGACCGCAGCTCCGCACAACTGGAGGAGCGCCAGGTCGCACTCGCGCTCCATGCTGGCCTGGAAAGCCTCGAAATCGAGGCCCAACTGCGCGTCCGTAGGCTCTGGAAGTGACCGCGAAGCGCCCGTCTCGACCAATCCTGGCTGCGGCTTCTGCCCCGATGCCGGCGGGGAGCTGCGCACGCTGCGTGCCCAACAGAGCACAGCCAGCACGCACAGCGCAGCGGCCGCCGGCGCCGACGAGCCGGCGAGGCCGACGACGGCTGCAGTGCACTGCGAGATCTCTGCCATGGCAGGTGTAAATCGTGTGAGAAGGTTTCGGTAAGAAGGTTGTATCTGAGAATGTCGTGGACAGAGAGATCAGGGGAACCAGAAGTGACATGAACACGAAAACGCAGAGGTCCGCGCGGATTCCTCGGATCGGCGCTGGGGCCCCCCGGCGGCGCCTCCGGCGCCGCCCCTGGCGCGCTCCGCGCGCCAGGGAGGGGGCTCCAGCGCCGATCCGAGAAAACTGCGCGGACCTCCGAGTTGTTATGTTCATGCCAACTTTTGTTCCCCTCGAGATAGGCTGCCCGACTGCGCCCCGAACGCGGGGCCCCGACGGTCCTGAGTCGACTCGGCGGCGAGGCGGACGGACGGAGAGCGGCGGGGGACGAACGGTGGGGCGAGAGGCAGGCCACGAGAGGCGGCAGACCGAGGCAGGAGCTGGGCAGACGGCAGGAGCTGGGCACGCAGACATGCACGGGATACTCCCCACCCCGTCTTTCTCGCGCTCGCTCGCTCTCTCGCTCTCTCTCTCTCTCTCTCTCTCTCTCTTCCTGCGCCCCACTGGCGGCGGCGAAGGGGGCGCCCCCCCCCCCCCCCACGCCGCGCGTTCCGACGGCTCTTCTTTGTTTCTCTCTCTCTCTCTTACTCTCTCTCTCTCTCTCTCTCTCTCTCATTCGCTCGCTCTCTGTGCGTCTCTCTCTCTCTCTCTCTCTGCAGCCGAGCCGAGGCGGCCCTGGGAGTGCGCCAGGACAACATCCTGAGGGCTCAGCGGAAGCCCCGAGCAGCCTTCTGGGCAAGATCTTCCCTAAATTCTGTGCGAAGACAGAGCATACAACAGAAACGTGCGACTAAGAAACTGCTCGAAGTCCTTCAATCTGCAACGACCCTGGAGAGGGTTCCGACACAAGCTCACTCGGACCAGGGCGCGCTCCCGCATCAGAATCCGACTGTGCCAGAAGCGGCTTGGTGCTGGGGCAAGCAGCTTACGGTGTATGAGACCCCTGCGATGCGACCTCATCCCCTTCAATCAATCAACCCCATGCCCTTCCTCAGAATTTGTCTCGCACTGCATTGCCCCCCTCCGGCAGACGCTCCGACACCTTGGAACTGGCGATAGCTTCAAGCAAGCAGTTCGCATGCAGCGTGCGCGTCGGACGCTTCCACCGCGGAGTACCTAGACCACTGGACGCAATGGCGTCGCGGCAGCTATACAGAGCATGCTCTTCGGATGTGAAGTGATAATCTCGTGAGGGCTCGTCATTGCACTGCTGCGTTTCACGGCGGACTCTTCAGTCTGCGCACCTTTTACCTGGCGATTGCTTCAAACAAACAGATCGCCTGCAGCGGGCGCGCTGGAAAACTCCAGCGCGGCGGATGCAACGGCTTGCCAAGCCTGGATGGCCCACAGAAGAGACACAGCACAAGCTCTGCAGATGTGCTGAAATATCCGATATCACACGTGCAAAACTCTTGCAACGCACTTCTGCCGCTGCACCAACGGCGGACGCTTCAAACCTCTGAGCACTCATGAGTTCGCGATCCGCCACCGCGGCCTCGGCACGGTGTGACGTGTTAGAGCGCCCATTTGCTGCCTGGTGCTTCTGCCGTTTTCTCAGGGGTTCCCCCCACTGACGGTGGGCGGTCCCAGAAGTTCGCCCACCCTTTGACGAGCCAGCATCGCTCCGAGAGAGCTCCAGGCTGGCTTCGAGAATCGACCAAACGGCCCTCCATAGAAACCAACCTGCCAAAGTGGACAAACCCGGCAAAGGGCTACGATCTGTACACGGAAGCTCCAGGAACCCCCAAGAGGCTCAGGACGCCTCTAATAGGCCGCCGCCGAGGCCGCCGCCGAGGCCCACGGAGGCAACCACAAAGTACCCGACAATCATCCAGCAGCTCGCCCTCGGACGCCATCTGGCCAGCCTGCCGCCAACCAACGACCACATCTGAGGTTGCAGGACCGCGACTGTGGATCACTAGTTCTGAACGTGATGTTCGCAAAGGCGGTGGCGATGGTGGTGGAGACGATGCTAGGTGTGCTGGTGGCGGGGCTAGAACAAATAGCGGTGATGGCGAGGATGGCGGTGATCACGGCGCCATTCCCTTTGCTTCTGATTGCCTACCCGCACGAAGCTGCCACTCGAATACCCCCACCGAGCTGCAACCGAAACATCCTCAGCCCCCCGTCCAGAACTGCCGCCGCACAACCACCACACAAATAGTTATCCACACCAGAACAACTAACACTGCCAGCCCGATACCCCCACCAGCCCAGAAATATCCTCCCCCCCCGAGGTTGCACGGCTTAAGATGACATCGGAAAAGGCTCCAAATAGGCCCAGCACACCCTCAAGACGGCAAGAGAACCCCTGAAGACGGCCGACGGGCTCCACGACGTGCCCGAGACCCGCCCGAACCGCCCCGAGATGTTTCAGCCGAGCCTCTTCGGCAAAGCTCGGTCGAACAATCCCGCATAAGACGGCGCCCAACCCCCCAGCAGAAGCCCAGTATGCCCCCAACGCAACGACCACTCATCGTTATGACTTCGCCGCGCTACAGCAGCGTGAAGCCGCTTCCTAGACGGCACAAGTGTGTTTCGACCGAGGGTGTTCGCAGACATGGCTAGAACCACCCCGCATGCCTGGCCACAGTAGCGGGGGTCGCCGCAAGCAGCCAGATAGCTTCAAGCAAGCAGTTCGCCCGCAGAGTGTGCGCCGGAAAATTCCGCCGAGGACTGCCCTGAGGGCTGGGCACAACGGCTTTCCCACTCTAGATGACCCAAAGCAGGTACGGACCGCAAGATCTGTAGATGTGCTGAACGATCATCTCGTGCAGGCTTGTGCACCGCAGCGGCTGGCTCACCGTCTCCGGCTCGCAGAACAGCTGCTCGAGGTAGTGTTCGTGGTACTCCTGGAAGGCTGCATCGAACGCGCCGTCCGCACACAGGGCGCGCCCATGCTCTGCATGGACCTCTTCGGCCTGTCTCTCGAGCGCAGCACCAGTCTCGTCCAAGTCAAAAGATCCTTCCAACGTGTCGTCATCCCATTCGCCTAGGCCTCCATTCTCATCCATGAGCCTCTTGAGTACTGCGTCGCGATACTGGCTTTCAACGGCAAGGTCGAGCATGCCTTCGAGCGCCATGTCGCAATGCCGCTCGATCTCTGCTCGAAAGGCCATGGAGTCGTCCTTGCTTTCCTGGAAACCATTTAGACGGGACCGTGGGTCACCATCGTGGAGGGTAGGTTGATCCCCAGCCAGGGCGATGTCGACGCCCGCGCAACAGCCTTGTTTGTCGAGAAGGGCGGGCTCCGCAAAGTCCTCCGCGAGGCCCCCAAACATTTGGTCGTCGATCGCATCATCGCACAACCTGGAGAGCACCAGGTCGCACTCCCGCTCCACGCTGGCCTGAAACGCCTCGAACTCGAGGCCCAGGTCCGCATCCGTTGGCTCTGGAAGTGACGAGGAGGTGTCTGTGCCCACCAGCTCCAGTTTCCGATCCTTGCCCGGCGCCTGGGATCACCTGCGCGCGCTGAATGCCAAATACAGCACGACCAGTGCACACAACGCGGCGGGTGCTGCCGCCAGGCCCGCGAGGTCGACGAAGCTTGCCGCGGCCTCCATGATCACCGCCATTCCAACACAATGTGAGAATCTGAGAATGTTTCGGTATGAGTCGTAAAGAGTGAATGATGTCAGGAGAACGCAGAATGACACAAACATAACATCTCGGAAGTCCGCGCGGATTTCTCGGATCGGCGCTGGACCTGCCTCCCTGGCGCGCGGAGCACACTGGGGGCGGCGCCGGAGGCGCCGCCAGGGGGCCCCAGCGCCGATCCGAGAAATCCGCGCGGACCTTCCAGTCTTTATGTTCGTGTCATTGGTTTGTTCCCCTGGATGTGGATAGCGCGGGGCTGCTCCCAGGCGAGGAGCGCCTGAGGGCCTTGAATCGAAAAACAGCGGTAACATGGAAGGGGCCCCGGGGCACACAAGTGAATACACACACATACGAGGACTCCCCATATTTTCCCATGTCGTCTGGTTTTTGTTTCATCTTCCCGCCCAATGCTCTTATTTTCAGATATTTTCCCATATTTCCCATACTTTCTAATAGGGCCGGTGCCTCTCCGGCGGGCGGCGCCTGAATGCAGGAGAACAGAGACTCGCCATCGCTCGGACGTCCACTCCCTGTGCTTTTTTCGGTTTCGTGCGTGGCTTTTTCGCCAAATGATCAAGGATGCTCCTCGATGGTCCTCGCCGAAGGAAAAATGCACACGTCCGAGCGATGCCAAGAGAAAGAAAGATGGAGGGAGAGGGTCAGGTCGGGCTGGCAGGGTAGGGTTAGGGAGAGAGAAAGATGGAGAAAGAAAGATATAGAGGAACAAGGAGAGAGAGAGAGAGAGAGAGAAAGAGAGATGGAGGAAGAAGGATGGAGAAAGAAAGATGGCGGAAGAAATGAGGGTTAGGTCGGGCGTGTCCCCCTACAGGGGGATGTTGGACGATTTGTTGTGAAACACAAAGAATCAAACAGATGCAAACAAAAAGTGCACCAACAACACTCAGACCATCCTCCACGGATTCTCATCGTTTTTGAGCATTCCTCCTGTAGAGGGACACACCCGACTTAAAATGAGAGCGGAAATCACACATACAACGACGGAGACAAGCGACAGCCAAACAGGTCGGACACGTAGAGCGGCCAAGACCGATCAAGGCAGACGGACCTAGACAAAAATCACACATACAGCGACGGAGACAAGCGACAACCCAACAGGTCAGACACGTAGAGCGGTTAGGACCGAGAGAGGGAAAGGCATACGGACCTAGACACACAGAGAGACAGACGCAGGGACGGCCGACAGGCACGCAAATATTGCCGACCACACCGACAGACGGACAAACCAGCACACAAACCACTCTAACCACAGGCCCGTTCAAAAGTAGCACGATGTCTCTTACATCACAAGCGGGGCTGCACAGCGTCCCAATTCGATGGCCTCCTGAAGCGAAGCCGTTGTAGCAATATCTGGAGTTTTGTGAGACGTGGGCCGGCTTTCGGTTGCCCCCTTAACAAAGAACTTGAGCAACTAATGAACAGTGTGCGCCGCATGTTGGTGAATCCGTGGTCAAAGGCCTTGCGAAGCTCAGGGAAGAGCAGATTGAAGAGCTGAATTCGTAACGCTAGGCCAGGGTGGCACCACAAAGCCTCTGGATCGCCAACAGAGACGCACGACCTACCTGGCTGCCCCGTCAACGTGTGCCATGCCACTGGCACTGCCGAGACATTGACAATGCGTCTATGTCGCGCGTCGGCACGCCCCAGGCATTCAACGGCTAGGCCTTTGTTCGAACACGTGCTCAGAGACCCCATCGACGCCCCTTCCTGGGCTACTGTGAGGCCCGAACGGCATGATGACTGTCATTAAAGGGGCTCCAGAACACACAAATAAATACACACAAATAAAATGTGTCCCATATTTTCTGGGTGTTTGTCTTCCCCCCCACTTCCCATATTTTCGCATGTTTTCCTGGGGATCGACGATTAATTGTGTCTGTGTGTTTCTTTCCCTCCTGAGTCATGGGGCCCGCAAAAACAAGCCTAAGGAGGTCCAGAAACAGAAGAACAACAAAGGCATGTTCGGCGATGCGAGCATAGTCTTCGGTCGGCGCTGGACCCCCTCCCCCGGCGCCGCCCCGAGACATCGGCGTGGGACCTCCGACATCAGCTCATGCTTGCACAGCGGAGGCCCGACCACAAGAAACCTTCCACAAGAAACCCAACCCTGAGACCCCAGGACGTCCATTGGTTTTCGGTGCGGGAGCGTCACGCTTTCCATCGCAGGACCACCGACACCCGAGAAGCCCAGGGCACCCTGGAGGCCAGCAGGGTGTTTCTTGGCGTTGGGCCCCCGCTGTAGGAGGTTCTAACATTCAGAGCCCATTTGCTGGCCCTGGGGGCCGCCCCAACAAACGCAGGATGAAAGCCCAGCTCCTGGCAAAAGTTCGAGATGTCGGGGGGGGCGTCTTGAAAAAATACCTGACGTCGGAGGTCTGGGATTCTTGGAATCCTCGGCTGCACCCTCCATCTCCACTAAAGAGGGTACCATCTATGAACCTACACCGATGCTGGCTGGACCCAAGATCGGCTCTGGCCAGGCTGGCGCAAAATAATAGTCGACGCCCTTCGGTCTTGGACCTGCAGGGGCATCTCGACCCCTGCCCGTGAGCCCCAGAAAACGCGGCTCCTTTCCAGGACTGGCTTTTCATCCTGGCTGAACCGTGTTTGGGCGGCCCCAGGACACAGCGCACCCCCAAGGGCCGAACACAGCCAACAGAACCTCCGCCGAGATGCTTGGCATGCCGCGAAGGAGTCCGAGCGTCTGACGCCCTCGGGTGGGCCATCCATCCCCGCGCCTTCTTTCGACGAACGCGTCGCGCACTGCGCCCACCCTGCGGCAGGCTCCAACCTACGGGCTGGCAGTCGCTTCAAACAAGCACCTCGCCTCTGCCGTGGGCGCCGGAGGATCCTACCGCGGAGCGCAAGAAGGGAGCCACAAAGACGGGAGCCGCACCAATCAGAATCATGGAATGCAGGATGCAAGGCACCCAGAGTGCAGGATGTGCAGACCGCGCAAGCAGCGAGGGGCAACCTTCGGAGGGGACTGGCTCAGGGGGGGGGGGGGGGAACATCGAGATGGCATCGGCGATACATCGCCAGTAGATCGGCGATGTGTCCCTGATGGCGACACCGCACGGTCCTGGGCGGGGAGGGCCCATCGGACCCGTATCACCGACCAGTGGGCGATTGGGGGTCGATGCGTCCCCTCCTGAGCTGGTTCCCTCGAATCTTGCGACTGGAAAAGAAAGCATGACGACACATCGGCCCAGAATCGAGGGGTGCAAGCGTGAATTGCCTCAGAGGGCTCATCCTGGAAAAACCGGCTTTTCACAACTCTCTCCGTCGCAGCACGGCAGAGGCAGTCCCCTCGGGGCCGCTGTTGTCCCAAACCAACAGCGGCCGCTGTTGGGCAGGCGGCCGTCTGTCTCAAATGGACACAGGCCGTGGCGACACGGACAGCGAGGCCTGTTCAACATGAGCAAGAATTGCTGTCGTCTGCGCAACTAGCCCATCTCTCCGTGCCCATCTCGATGGTCCCGAGAACTGCCGGCCACGCGCGACACAGCGAACTGTCCGGCGGCAAGGAGAGGGCGCGCAGGGGAGGAGGAGGGGGCAGCCGCCGAGGGCACCGGCCCGCCGCCGCGCGCAGACCAACAGAAAACTTCCAGGGCTCCGCGCGGAGTTCCCAGATGGGCGCTGGAGCACCCTCCCAGCCCCCGGGGCTCGCGCGCGCAACAAGGGGTCAGGGGGAGGGGGGGGGGAGGCTCCTGAAAAGGCGGCGCTGCGGAGGCGCTGCTCCTCAGAAGGCGGCGGCGGCGGCGGCCCCACGTCTGCGGGCGAGCGAGGCCCGCGCCTCCCGAGCAGCAGGGGCGCTTCTGCTGAGGAGGCCGCTCCTTCGAAGGCGCCAGCCCCACGTCTACGGACAAGGAAGGCCCGCGCCCGCCTTCTGAGAAGCAGGGGTGTTTCCAAGAGACCTTCCCCCCTCCCCTCCCCTCCCCCATCTGCGCGCGGCGGACCCCCCCCCCTGGCGGCGCCTCTGGCGCCGCCCGTGGGCGGCGTAGGCACGCCAAGGGGGGCGTGAAGGGATGGGGGGCGCCGTGCCCAGCAAAGTCGGGTCGAGCCCCTGGGAGCTCTTCGTGAGCAGTCGTTTCTAAGGAAGGAGCCCACGAGGGACGTACGCGCCCAACAACGTTTAATGTCGGGCAGGTCCTTCTACAGGCGGATCGTGGGCGAAAAGTAGAAAATGGTAAAACATACACCCCAAAATAGTAAAGAAATCGTCCGTTGACAACTTACTATTTTTGAATATTCCTATCCTATACGACCACCCTTCGGGTGATCAGGAGGTTCGGGGGGGGAGGAGCCAACGTCTCACTCGATCGGTCTCACTATCGATCTCACTATCGATCTCAGTATCGGTCTCGCTCGATCGATCTCCCTCGATCGATCTCACCATGGATCTCACTCGATCTATCTCACAGTTGATCTGACTATCGATCTCACAATCGATCTCACTATCGATATCACATTTGGTCTCACTATCGATCTCACTATCGATATCACAACCGCTCTCACAATCAACGTCATCATCATCATCAACAACAACATCAACATCAACATTATCATCACCAACATCATCATAATCGGGACACCGTCATCATCAACACCAACATCATCATCATCACGGTCATCAACATCATCGGGACACCACCATCATCATCATCACCATCATCACAATCATCATCATCATCATCATCATCAGCATCATCATCATCATCATCATCAACATCATCATCATCAACAGCAGAATCGGGACACAGTCATCGTCATCATCATCATCATCAGCAGCATCATCATCGGGACACCATCATGATCACCATCGTTATCATCATCACCATCAGCATCATCATCATCATCGGGACACCATCATCACCATCTCATCCTCATCGACATCATCATCATCATCAGCATCATCAACATCATCATCAGCTTCATCATCATCATCGTCATCATCGGGGCACCATCATCATCATTACCAACATCAGCATCAACAACATCATCATCATCATCATCATCATCATCATCATCATCATCATCATCACAATCATCATCATCATCATCATCATCATCATCATCATCATCATCATCATCATCACCATCGGGTCGCCATCATCATCAACATCATCATCATCAGAATAATCATCATCATCGGGACGCCATAATCATCAACTTCACTTTCATCAACATCATCATCATCGGGGCACAATCATAATCAGCATCATCAACATCAACATCATCATACTCATCATCATCGGGACACCATCATCGTCACCATCATGATCATCTTCATAATCATCATGATCATCATCATCCTCATCATCGGGACACCATCAG